AGCTGCATCAAAACAAGATGAATGTCAATTTTTTAGTGGTGGAAAGTAACTAAAAGCAATATAATTTTGTTTTCGAAAAAAATGTAAATCAATATTTTAGTGGTACACTTCGTTTCTGGCAGTTGGATATCGCTAATCGAAAAATTCGAGCAACAGATATTAATACGGGTATTGTTAAACGTATTGTCAAATGTATGACAGTAAGTATATTTACAGAAAAAAGAAAATAGAATTTTGTACTATCGTCAAGGTCTCATTGGATGGCACTATTCTTTATTGTGGTACAACCTCAGGAGATATACTTATGATCTATATTCCAGCTACTCAATTTAAATGTATTGGACCTGAAAAGAAAAAATATTCAATGGGAATTACAACTATACAAGCATTAATCAATGGTGATGTTTTAATTGGTACAGGCGAAGGAAAAATTCATATTGCTGAAAAAGAAACATTTAAATCATTAAAGTAAATTATTCTACGACTTTATATATATTAATTCTTTTGTTTATATCAGATCTGCACAAGCTATGGGTGAAATAACTTCCATAGCATTAAGAGGTGAAGGTCATATGGTAAATGAAATTTCTTTGTTACTTATTTAAAAATAAAATACAATCTTTTTTTCATGCATAGATTTTTATCGGTACAGATCGATCACATATTTATAAAATTAATTATGCTGATTGGAAAATGGAATTAATTAATACATGTCATAATTCACCTATAAACGATATTGCATTTCCTTTGTAAGTTTTAAAAATTGATATTAGGAAAAAATAAATTAATTCATATATTCTATAGTGGAACTTCGGAATTATTTGGCACATGTGGATTTCAAGATATTCGGTAAGAAAAACAAAATTTCAAATTGAAATATTTTTTTTTCTTTAATTTAGTATATGGCATGCACCAACTGGTAATGAATTATTACGAATATCAGAAGCAAATAAAACATGTAATTCAATATGTTTTAGTCGTGATGGAAAAATGATTTTAAGGTTTAAATAATAAATTTCTATAAAAATCAAACGAAAATTGTTTTCTTTTTTCTATAGTGGATGGGATGATGGTCGTATTCGAGCTTTTTATCCTGAAACCGGTCGTGAAATGTTTAGTATAAATGATGCACATAATCGTGGTGTAACAGCCATAGCTATTACAAATGATTGTCGACGAATAGTTAGTGGTGGTGGCGAAGGTATGATACGTATTTGGCAAATAAATCCAAATTCACGTGAACTTTTGGCAACTATGAAAGAACATAAAAATGCGATTGTTTGTATTCGTATTAATAAATCGGATACAGAATGTGTTACTGCATCACTTGATGGTACTTGTATTATTTGGAATTTAAAGTAAGGATAATATTAATTTATTGAAGTGTAGAAAATTGTTTTTTTATTCTAGACGTTTTGCACGTAATCAAGTTTTATTTGAAAATACACTTTTTCATTGTGTAGCTTATCATCCCGAAGAATATCATATAGTAACAGGTGGTAGTGATCGAAAAATTGGATATTGGGAATCTACAAATGGTGCACAAATACGTGAATTAGAAGCATCAAAAAGTGGAACTATTAATGGACTTGATATTGATAATTCTGGTAATTATTTTGTTACTGTTAGTGCTGATAAATTAGTAAAAGTAAGTGTATATTATGTTACTTTTATTAGATATTTTTAAGATTCTATTTAGTTCTGGCGTTATAATGAAGGTGACGTCATAAGTGTTGGTATTGGTCATGGTAGTGAAGTGAAAAAAGTTAAAATATGTCCAAATTCACAACATATTATTTCTGTTAGTGCTGATGGAAGTATTTTCCGATGGAAATTTCCAAAATCAACTATATAGGAGAACAAGGTTTTTTTTCAAAAGATTATCTACTTTTTTATACCTTTTTTTCTTAAAATATTTATAAAAATAAACAAAAGTATTTTATCATAATAGAATTAACAAGTAACATTCGTCGTCTTGACTCACTTTACCCTCGACTGTGACAGAGTAGGAGTGAGTGTGTGTGGGTGTGGGTGTGGGTGTGGGTGTGGGTATCGGTAATGAATCAGAACTATTCCACCCACACCCACACTCTCAAGACTTTTGACCTGCCAGAAACATAGAGACAAACTATTTTATTTCGTATGACCCTTCATACAATCGAAGGAATTCTATCTAAAAGTGTTCTTTGCATCGCTGGGTCAGTTCCGCTGTTCATATTTTCAAAAAATAAATAGATACCTTAGTTATTTTTTTTTATTTCGGAAACAGAAAACAAAAAACAATAATAAACTGATTTTTTTAAGCACTGATCGTTTTAAAGATATTAAAACCGGATAAAGCAGTACTAAGTAATAAACCAGGTATTTGTCTATGCCAATGAACTTCTTTAATATCTGTTTGTCCCATATGAATAAAAAGTAATTGATCAGGTAAATTTTCTAATTGATTATTATTTGATGCTACTGCTTGTTCTTTCTTTTCTTCATCATCTTTTTCTACAGCTAAATCCCATAATGTTATTTGATTATCAGCACCAGCTGCAGCAAATACACTTGAATCTGTATCATGCCATTCAACACTTGTTATCGCTGATGTATGATGTTTAAATGATGCGACTGGTGTTTGTTTCTAGAAAGAAGAAAAAAACATACGTATGGTTTTAAAAATTCGAAATTTTATTTTTTTTACTGAGAATTGTCGTAAATCCCAAACTTTAATATAACCATCATCACCACCAGATACAATAAATGGTTCAAACTTATTCCAACTAATTACGTTAACATCAGATGTATGGGCATCCGCTTCTGTTAACATACAAGCTTTTGATGGCATAGCACGAATATCCCATATGCGTATACTTCGATCAACACTACACGAAGTAAAAACCTTGGAAAATAAAAATAAATAAAAAGTTGATGTGTCTTTTTTGTTTAAAAATTTCTTACACTCTCTTCATTGGGTGACCATTGAATATCTTCAACAGAAGATGTATGACCAGTATAAGGTCTTTGATCAACAAGCCATTCAGTATCATTTGGTTTCCATATATGAATATTTTTTGAGCAATCACCAGTTGCTAACATTCCTAAAAACGAAAAAATTTGTTTTATTTGACTAAATCAAATTGTTTCTTTACCTGGTACAACTGGCGACCAATCCATGGCGAAACCTAAAAAGAGATTCTTTTGATATTGCAGAAAAAAGAAAGGAATCTTTTCTTTTACCTTCGCTCATATGTCCATTAAATGTAAATAATGGTTTAGGTGATTCTTGATTACGAACATAAGCAGACATAACAGATGAATCATTAACAGCATGAACTAATCGACTTAAATCCCATATATGTACTTTTCCTGTATCAGACCATGTTGCTGCTATTTTACGTTCATTAATAACTGTTGACTGAAGTGAAAAACAAAATCGGGTTTCTTTTATTTCAAAATATTCTATAATCATTTAATTACTCGTATTCGATTAACACAACCAAAATGTTTCAATGAAACTGATTCAAATTCAGGTTTAGAATCTTCTTCTTCATCATCGTCATCATCATCTGATTCTGCATCGGATGTTTTTTCCTAAATAGAAATTTCAAAAATTTATTATCAATACTCTTTAGAAAGAAATACTCGTTAACATCCACGATTCAATAGAATCCTCTATTAAAAAAGGTTTTTTTTAAATCTAAGAGCAAGTATATAATGAATATCGTGGTACTAAGGAAAGAATGAGAAATATATTGAGCGGAAGTTAGACATGACCCAAACTTATATTCAAACTGTTTGGGAGTTTGAGTTTAGTTTAATGAGTTTGAGCGTGGGTTTGGGTCTTCTTTTAATTGCCACCAATGTATCGAAAATAGTGTCTTCTACAGATTAAAAAAGCACAAACCCAAACTCAAACAGTTTGAGTTTGGGTCATGTCTAGCAGAAGTCAATATTAAGTAGTTAATAATGAATTCATCCAAAGGCACATAAAATATTCTACGTCAAAATTGTTCCTATTCTTAATATTTTCATATAATATCATACTTTTAAAGTTTTAGTTAAATTTGACATTTTTACAACCATCACACTATTTCGATCAGCTTTTTCTGCTTGTGTACCACAAACAATAAATACTGTATGTGGATATTGATTTCTATCCATACCCAAATTATCAGATAATATATCAAAACTTAAACATGGATCACCTAGAAAAGACAAAACAAACCTTGATAAATTCTTTTGAAATTCTATTAAATCACATACTTGCCTGTTTGTGCTTCATGAAACATTTCATATGCACTTTCTTCTCGTACAAGTTCTTCATCTTCATCTAATGGATCACCTGGTAAATAAACTTGTTGTACTTTATTTTTAGTAGTATTTTCATTCGTTGTTATATCTTCGGATTCCATATCTTCATATTCATCATTATTATTATCTTTTATTTTTTTTTCTGATTTCTTTTTCTTATTTTTTCCTTTTACCATGATGTTTCTTTTTTTATATATCTAAAAACAACAGCCATAGAATATAGACAAAATGCAAAGTCAGAAGAGTGATAAATATCGAATAGATTTTTTCGAAAAAAAAACAAATAAACGCATGAGTAAAACGAGACGTACAAAAAAAAATTGCTAAAAATCAATGTTTTTTTTTTTTATAATTATTATCTTCTTTTATAAATGTAACTTAGTCTTTATTTTTTGATTGATCTGGTTCAATATTAACAGCTGATGATTCATGACGATTTTCAGCTTTTAATTTTTGAAATGCATCATAAGCAGCTGCTTCTTTCGCTTCTTTTTTCTTATTACGTTTTTCATATGTTAATCTACAAAAAACCAGAGTATTAATTTCGAATAAAATAAATTTAAATTAACAAACCGATTATCAATAATACGTGTAATAATATCTTGTGTTGACATTGGATTTCCACTATCAATTTGTTGAAATTTACCAAGAGCTTTTGGTACTTCATATGGATCACGTCCATCAACATCAGGATCACATGGTGTTTGACCATGAATAACAAGTGAAACTTTAAAATGATTCATTAATTCCATTGTAACAGCATAAGGTGCAGCAATAACAACTTCATCGACATACTTTAATATAAAAAATTTCAGAATTGTTTTTTTTTCGAAATCAAATATTTTATCTTACACGACAAGCTAATACACTGAGTACACGTTCGTGAATATTCATAATTGGATGATTACTTCCTTTATATCGATTAACAATCTAATAATAAGCAAGTTTTATATTATATTATTAAAATTAGATTTTATACTCGATCGGAGTGTAAACCAACAATAAGATAATCACCGTGTGATTTAGCTTTTTCAAGAAAATCAACATGACCAACATGAAATAAATCAAATGCACCGGCTGTATAAACTATTCTATCATCGGGCTAAATAAAAATTTAAATTTGACAAAGCGTGATGAAAGTAAAACAATATCCCCAAGGGAAATTTCGATTATTAAATCTTTTGATCTATTTACAATAGATTAGAATTAGATCTTCAGCTCAAAATCTTACTTTTGGTTCTCGACCATTTGAAAATTGTATAATTTTATTCGTTGTTGCGAGAAATTGTGAAGCACCAGTCCATGGACTAGCACTTTCTTTACATAAGCTCATACGTCGTGTATTTTCTCGATCAGGTAATATATCATCAGGTTCATGATGAGATTTTGTCACAAGTAACATTCTAAATACAATAAAATCAAATAATATTAAACAAAGGAATTAATTAAGACGAACCTTCCGACAAGATCAGTTGTTGATATACCTTGTGTTCGTTTACATTCACGATATCGACCAGCTGTTTTCACAATATGATATGTATCCACACCATCTGCAGTTACCTAGAATTTTTAGTAAGAAAAAATATATTTAATTAGTTTTTCTTACTGTGATATCATCTCCATGTACACAAAATGCACAATTATATTCTTCTAATGTTTCCAATGCTGTTACATAAGGTGCATTTTCAACAACTTGATCAACCCATTTTATAGCTCGTACCATTTTATATCGTTCTTGTTCTGTAAAAACTGGAGGACCTTTATGTTTAGTAATTTCCTCTACAAACAAAAATTATTTGCCAAAGATATAAATCGATAGAAAACAAACCATCTGAATGAACACCGACAACTAAATAACCTCCCATTTGTTTAGCTTGACGACATGCATTAGCATGACCAAAATGTACCATATCATAACTTAAATAAATAGTTAAAATTTACTATGTAGTGTAAAATTAAAATCTTACCATCCATCCATCCATACTCGAACATCTTGATCGGGTTTCGATTCACCTGCATATGATGTGCCCATCGTTAATTTAATTGTTTAAGTAGTAATGATATCCGAAAAAAACAAGATAGGCTAAAAGTGATTTATATAGTTGGATTAATCAATTATTCATTCGTCATAGTCTCGAACGATATAATAGCCAATAAAAAAGTTTTTATTATGAAATTTTTTTATAAATATTTTTTTAGTTATTTTTCGATGTGATGAAGAAAAATATTTTTTGATAAAAAATAGATGTCACACGTTTCATATCTCTAGAGCATCAAGTTAAGTGCGTAAATATTATTCATATATTAATCTATAGCCAAAATAAGTCACGATCGATTAAGTTACTAAAATCATTATTTATTTTGAATAAAATTGTATATTTCTTTGATTCACCGACGTTGCATTCACTTTTAAGATATAAAATTTCTCGTAAAAGATGGAGCCATATGACATTCATATTTTCTTATTAATATAATAAATTTAAATTTTATTTCATAAAAAAATAATCTTTATTAATAAAAGATTTTCTATATTGTAAATTAAATTTTATCTTAAAT